CTGTAACGTAATCATATAAATAGGTAATATCATTGATAGGTAATATAATGTGTGTGTATTAAATTAACCAATTAACGAGATACATGACAGTTTAATACACTATTCAACCTCTGCGACAAATAAGATGTTGTTCAATTATATACCGTAAAATTGGAATATGTATCCAAAAGAATATATTCGTCCATTATACATTATAGCCATCACGTAGCCCCGAATTTAATCCATTTGATTTTGGTATATGGGGCGCATTAAAACAACGTGTCTATAAGAATCCCATAAACATTTGCAACCAACTAAGCTTGGTCTTTAGAACCAATGATGCTATTTAATATGAGACCATCTATTATGGAATATATTAACAAATAAATTAAAGAAAATGGTGGACATATCGAACACTTCCTTTGACAAAAAAGGTATGTTATTTATTTTAACTATTTTTTAATTTGGTTTGTAAACAAACTGTTTTAATTATGAGTTTAAACTAACTTAAAATGTAAAATGTTTAATGTAAAATCCTATTATTCTGTTATTTTGTCAAATCCTATTATCCTGCTAATATATTTATTTTATTTAATATTTCGTTAACTATTAACTTTAGTTGAAAGTATTTTATACCAAAATTCAGAAGTATTGATGTTTTTGTCTATTTTTCCTTTTTTGCCTGGAGTAATTTCCTTAAATCAGAATTATGCAGCTGATTTATAAAATGCGATTATTTCGAAAACTGTTAAGTTTTGACGTTATTAACAGGTATACCCTTTTATGTTAAAATAACGTATATTTTTTATTACAAATACAGGTAACTTAAAGAGCAAAAAAGTTGTGCAAAATGCCACATCTGTGGCATATGTGACGCTCTCTATCAGCTACATCAAAGTGTGCATCAAATTATAATTTCTCATATTTTAAAGTACCCAGTTGTAAATTTTTATACATAAATGTTTACAAACATGACGGTTACAGCAAAATAAAAATTTTTAAATTTGCACTTTAAAACCCTGTATCTTTCTAATATCAACATTTTATTAAAGTAATATTTGATGGCTCAAATCTTAATATTTTAAAGTCTATAATCTACTGTTTCTTTTTGTACAATTATGTAGGGACCACCCTGTGTATATATTATATATATAAATATATATATATATATATAAATATATATATTATATATATATAACAACGCTGACAACGTAAGGAAAGTAAACTTTAATTATTGGGTATGCAGCAATAAAAATAAAACGTGTACTTTTTAAAATTTTTAATCCAAGCTTTCGGACATTGGTTATGTTCTTCATCAGCGAGCTACAAATGTGATAAATATTTTTTTTAAATTTTTATAATTAATTAAAAATTCGATACTTACAAACTTAATGAGGTTGTATCATAAATGATTTTATAAAATTTGATAAAATTTATCACAGTCAGTCATATCTGTATGAGTCTAAAACCTATTCCTATAAATTTTAAAAAATTACTTTACATTCACAAACACATAAGTATTATATACAAATTTATGACATTGATATTATTAATTTTATTGTATCGTCATTAGTTTTTTGTCACGACAATCCAGTGGTTTTTATTATTGGCTTTTTTGGAAGTCTTCGTGCGCATGTTTAAAAACATTTCGTCTTGACAAGTGAAAATCCCACATCCTAATATCAAGCAACTGCTAGTACAACAAATTATAGGCCTATCATTAGGTATATCGTGGAAATATAAATTATTTTATATTTGTTAATATCATTAGGAAGTAAAACTGTCAATGTTTCAAAACAAAGCCTATTAAATTAACATAAATAAGGTCATAATTTTAAAAACGTTAAAATTGATTGTGATTTTGTTTTGTATGACCCCAGTATCTGTGTGTATACAAAAATTATTAAATTTAAACAAACTAAATTTGTAAAATATAATAAATTTCTCCCAAAAAAAAACTTTTATTTTATTACTTAAATGTCAATTGATAAATTATTGTTTGTCTTATTGTTGCATTTATCTAGTAGTAACAAATAGGAGAACATTTCATTTAGATGGCCAATATCTGTTCAATGATTCCATTGCATTATTATTTTGGCCAATGTAGGCCATTGCAGAGAAAAAGTCCTTTTGGCGATGTTACTTTCCTGTTCTACTACTTTGGATGTTATTGTAGTCTATCCGATGCCCATTTTTAAATGCATGTTCACCCAATGCACTTCTTTCAGGATGTAGTCTATTATCAGACTTGTGGAATGTAATGCGGTCTTTAAGGCATCTGGATGTTTGACCATAGTATACTTGTTCACATGATCCGCACGGTATACAATAAATAACGTCCGTTAAGGACAAGAGTGCGGATTGTTCTTTAAGTTTAGAAAAAACTTTATTAACTGTTAGTACCGTTTTATATGCAATTTTGATATTATTAATTGTTGAAAAAATTCTACTTAGTTTATGCCCAATGTCCTTAATGGATGGAAGAGATATATATCTTCCATCCATATAGAGATACATATTTTCCTCGTTTCTTAAATGACTATTTAAATTTTGTGAAGTGTTAAACAACATTTTCTTTAGTAGTATACTTGGGTATGAGTTTTCAATGAATAGGTTATAAAGAATTTTTAGATTTTTTGTATGGAATGAGGTATCACTGATTTTAAGGACACGATTTTTCATTTCTTTAACTAAATATTTAATGAAACTTAATTTAGTATATATATATACTATATATATAATATATATAAAGGGGGTTGAGGTTAATTGGGTCTACAGCTGATTAAAAGCCAAATGTACTCTGTTCAACAGTTCATTATATTTCACTAATTTTCATTGGCATCATCAGATGAGAGCTACAATTATTTAAAACATGGTAAATTGTGTGATAATAACATAAAGAATTGGTTTGTGGATTCAATGTGGGTTGCAGCTATCTTGTAAGTAAAAACACAACTCAAATTAAAAATAAACAATCACAAAAACGTTTAGTCGAGTACCAGACTAAGGTTATTACCATTAAGGTTATTGTCATTAAGGTTAAGTACCAGAAATATTAAATAACGAATGTTACTGATTGACTTATGCCAGAAGATAATTAGTTTCATGTCGTTGATGTAGTACTTGTATATTTGATTGAGATTTATTGTAAAGGTGTGTTTTAGTTGATTTGTTTTTTAATTACGTTTTGTGTTATATTAATTATTTAATAATGTGTGTGTATTTATAATGTTTACTTTTCAATTTGTAATAAATAATCATGAATCTCCCTCAAATGCTCAACATTGACAGTCCTCACTCAACTAAACGTTTTGTGTCTGTTTATTTTTAATTTGAATTCTATTTGTACTTAG